AGGGACCAATTTCACGCATATAAAATGTAATTATACATAAAAGGGCTAAGATTGCAATTATATGCAATTTAACTTGAAAAATACCAAATGCAATTATAAAAAATGCGTAAAAAATATATCAACCATATTTTGGCATAATTATAGAGATTAAATGAATAAATCATCATAACAATAATTTGGGAAATAATCATTGGGGATTTTATGAATAAAAGGGAAGAAAATAAATCAATTTAAATCTTTAAAATCATGGAAAAATTATGAAAACCTTGTGCATGCTTATATATGCATATATATGCTATTTGAAGGTATTTATGCAACATTTCTCTCGGCGCACGTTAACGTGGCCTTGCTAACGTGCGCTTGGAACCATGGGAGGGAGAGGCAGACCTAAGCGAAATCAGACGAGGATACCAAACAATGACCACCGATCAACGGAAACAAGGAATGCTGTACTAGAATTGTTTGTGTCACCAAAAGGGTTAAGAATTGAAGAGCCAACTGGAAATTGCACTCCTAGGAACATGCAAAGTGAGCTGAGAAAAGTGGAAGCAAATCTATCACTGGAGAAAGGCAAATCGAAGGAAGTTGTTGCTACACCTGTAGCTGTACAAGCTGTAGGTGGTGGATCTGTGAGCAAGAAAGTGCAAACACAAGGTACGAAGCAGATAAAAAATGGAACAGTACCATGCAGCTCAGGTACTGTTGAAAGTGGTGAAAAAGTAGAAGCAAGGAAGGAGCAGATCGATCAATCATGGGCAAATGTGGTGGTAGGCATCAAATTGGCCATGAAAGGTATGAATTTACAGTTCATAGCTCCAATAGTTCAAAACGGAGAGAAAATAGCAAAGTTAGAAATCGTAGATGTTGAATTAGAAACTGAGAAATGGAGATCTGGTATTGTCCTATATGTGATTGGGGAAACTCCTACCATTGGAGCAATGGATAGATTCCTGAGCTCAATGGGAAAATTCTTAGTGAAACCACAGATCTACTACCACAATGAAGGATATTTTGTGATAAGGTTTAGTAATTTAGAGGAGAGAGACCAGGTGTTATACTCTGGACCTCACACAATCAACAACAAGCCCATAATAATGAAGGCATGGTCAGAAGATTTCAATGTTCAAGATGAAGTCCTGAAAACTATTCCCTTATGGGTGAGATTCCCAAATCTACCCATAAATTGCTGGGGTATGAAAGCTTTAAGTAAGATAGGTAGTATATTGGGAAATCCGGTGTATGCAGATGAATGCACCGCTGGCTCTGTTAGGATTTCTTATGCACGAATGCTGATTGAAATGGATATTACAAAACCCCTACCTAGGTATGTGAAGCTACAGGACCATAAGGGGAGGATAATTCAGCAGGAAGTCCCTTATGACTGGGAGCCAAAATACTGCACAAAATGTCTGAAAATAGGACATGATTGTGCTGAGACTAAAACAACACAACCACAAAGGATGGTGCAGCAGAGGAAGGTAGTCAAAAATAAGCAAGTGTGGCTCAGAACTGACAAAGAAGCTGGTAATGAGAAGAAGGTGAATGAGCAACAGAAAGTAGCTGAGACTACTCAACAACCAGAACCAGAATCAAAAAACAAAGATGCACAGGAAAAGGAAGAGGGGTGGATAACAGTCCTAGGAAAATCAGCAGCTAGGGCAGCTAAGGCTAAACAAGTTGAGGAGCAGGAGCTACCAGGAAGCAATGGATTCCAAAGTTTGGCAAAGAATCAAACACATGATGAACCAGGTACAAGTAAAATGCAGTTGAGGAGCTCAGAGATGCAGGAGTTGGATCACCACCCCTATTTTATACCTGTATGAGTGTGGTAACTTGGAACGTTAGGGGGTTGAATAAAACTTATAAGCAAAAGGAGGTAAAGGAGTTTATAAAAGGACATAATAAAGCAATTATAGCACTAGTAGAACATAGAGTAAAAGAGCACAAAACGAATGAGGTAATTAAGAAGATAGCACCTGGTTGGAAATGGATATCTAATGCTAGTGTAAACCATAAAAGCAGAATCTGGACAATTTGGGACCCCAGGATATATACATTTGAGCCAGTGGAAATAGAGGAGCAATTGATACATGGCCAAGTTAGAGTTATTTCAAAAGCAATCATGTTTGGATTTTCAGCAATATATGGACTACATACTATTAAAGATAGATTGAAGTTATGGTGTAAGATGAGCAAATTCACAGCATTAAGCAGGGCCTTGGCTAGCTTTGGGAGACTATAATGCTGTATTACATCCTCAAGATAGACAGTATGGTTTATAGGTACAAGAGATGGAAACAAAAGACTTTAAGGAGTATATGAGGGACACGGGGATGAATGAATTGCAATATGTGGGAAGGAGCTATACATGGACTAACAACCATACATATAGCAGAATTGATAGGGGACTTGTAAATATAACTTGGATGATGACAATGCCAAATGTGAAAGTGCAGGTGCTTGAACCAATGGTGTCTGACCATTCACCACAGAAGCTAGTGATCAGTTAGGCACAAAGAAAGAAGAACATGCCATTCAAGTTTTTCAACTGCATTGCTGATCATCCTCAATTCATGCAGCACATTGAAGTAGCTTGGAAGGATAGGAGCACAAATGGAATTATGCAGGCAGTATGGAACAATCTTAAAGGTATAAAAGAGATAATCAAAAATATAAACACACAGCACTACAAAGGGGTTGATGAAAGAATAAAAGACATTCGGAGGGAATTGCAGGGAGTACAAGAGGAAATGAGCTCTAAACTACAGAATATAGAGCTGGTTGAAAAAGAGAAAGAATTGAAGTGTGAGTTAGAAAAATGGGGAAAGATAGAAGAAAGCATATACAAACAAAGGTCCAGAGTCCAATGGTTGAAACTGGGGGATTCTAACTCAGCCTATTTTTATGCACAAATGAAGAATAGGAACCACTTGAATGGAATCCAAAGTCTAACAAATGATGTGGGAGCTCAACTAGTAATGGAGGATGATATAGAAGCAGAAATACTATGGTACTATAAAAAACTATTGGGATCAAGAGCTGAAAGTATTCCAGCTATCAATCCAAATATTATGAAACTAGGTGCAACGTTAAATAGAGAACAACAGGTTCAGTTGATCAAGCCAGTCACCAAAGAGGAAGTATGGGAAGCCCTGAAGGACATCAGTGACCTCAAAGCACCTGGTTATGATGGGTTTAATGCTATGTTTTTTAAGAAGGCCTGGCAAATTGTCGGAGAGGATATAACAAAGGCTGTGTTGGAATTCTTTGAAACAACACATATGTACAGACCTATCAACTGCACAGCAACCACTTTAGTCCCTAAAGTCAGAAATCCTATGAGTGTTAAAGAATACAGACCTATCTCATGCTGCACTGTTCTGTACAAAGTGATCTCCAAGGTATTAACTAAGAGACTACAAGGAGTTATGGATGATTTAATTGACAATACCCAGTCAGCATTTGTGCTTGGAAGAGTAATTACTGATAACATTATCCTAAGCCATGAACTAGTGAAAGGCTATGGAAGGAGAGGGTCTCACCTAGATGCATGATGAAATTGGATATGCAGAAAGCTTATGATTCCATTGAGTGACCTTTCATGGAACAAGTGCTGAATGCTTTGGCTTTTCCACACAAATTTGTGAGATGGATTATGGCCTGCATGGAAACTGTTACCTATACAGTTGTGATAAATGGAAATTTGACAAAGCCTTTGATGCTAAGAGGGTTGAGGCAAGGAGATCCAATGTTCCATTCTGTTGTACTGGCAATGGAATCTTAACAGAAGTCTAAAGACATTGAACCAGATTCCAGACTTCAACTACACCCCTAAGTGTGCCAAGATGAAANCTTATAGGAAGTCCTAATATTAAGGACTTTAAAATCATGAATCACTTTCTTATTTGAATTATGTAACATAATTTAATGCTTTCCATGTTAATTTTTTATTTGGAAATCAACCAACGAGTGAATTATTAAACTTTGTAAAAGATCCAGAAAACTCAATGCCATACTAATTCGAGTCCGTACCATTTGTATGATATTTTGATACATAAATTAAATCTATATTTATCTATCTATATTTTATATCTATATCTATCTATCTATCTATATCTATACTATATTAAAAGCATGAAATATCTTAGCAAAATATCGTTCGCGTTTTTTACCCTCTAAACACAGATTTCACATTGGACAAAATCGGAATATATGTGACCTTCCTAATATTTAGGATTTCAAAGTCAACTAAAATTCTGCTAATTAACTCTTTTCTTATTAAATACATCTTAATATTTAAGAATTTAAATCAATTAAGATTTTACCTATACGAAATTATTATTTTTATTTGAATCATGTAACATAATGCAAAACCTTTTCAAGTTACTAATCGTGAGAAGTAAGAAAAATAGAAACTCTCCATCAAAACGGTCGCAGTATAATTTATTTGTAATTTATTTTATTATTTTCTAAAGATGAGTGAGAGAGCTTGAATTCAATTGACTATGACATTAATAAATTAAATTGCTTTAGCAATGCTATATTGCAACTTTAGGATACAAAAATTTATTTCAGTAAGAAGGACATCGGATGAAGAAAGTATTATTAAATTTAGTTATTAATAATTCATAACTAATTGAACTACAAATATGATAGTATAAAGCTATAAAATAAAGTTGTAATTTTTATGCCAAGTGGAATGACAAGAGATATCCCGGTAATTAAGATGTTTGATGAAAAAGATAAAGAACATAGTAAAGTTACACTCATTGAAGCTATACGATACTTGTTAGTTGCGACAATACCACGTGCATAGAATAATCTTTCAAAAATTATATCCTTATTTATTTTAATTTTTACGACACAGTAAATATATAATTCGTATTTTTAACTAACCTACTATTTTGTTAGTAAAAGAGAAAAATTAATTCACATTTTACCATATAATTCGTATTTTTAACTAACCTACTATTAAAGATAGATTGAAGTTATGGTGTAAGATGAGGCAAATACACAGCATTCAGCAGGGGCCTTGGCTAGCTATGGGAGACTATAATGGTGTATTACATCCTCAAGATAAACAGTATGGTTCAGAGGTACAAGAAATGGAAACAAAAGACTTTAAGGAGTATATGAGGGACACAGGGATGAATGAATTGCAATATGTGGGAAGGAGCTATACATGGACTAACAACCATACATATAGCAGAATTGACAGGGGACTTGTAAATATAACTTGGATGATGACAATGCCAAATGTGAAAGTGCAGTTGCTTGAACCAATGGTGTCTGACCATTCACCACTGAAGCTAGTGATCAGTCAGGCACAAGGAAAGAAGAGCATGCCATTCAAGTTTTTCAACTGCATTGCTGATCATCTTCAATTCATGCAGCACATTGAAGTAGCTTGGAAGGATAGGAGCACAAATGGAATTATGCAGGCAGTATGGAACAATCTTAAAGGTATAAAGGAGATAATCAAAAATATAAACACACAACAATACAAAGGGGTTGATGAAAGGATAAAAGAGATTAGGAGGGAATTGCAGGGAGTACAAGAGGAAATGAGCTCTAAACTACAGAATATAGAGCTGGTTGAGAAAGAGAAAGAATTGAAGTGTGAGTTAGAAAAATGGGGAAAGATAGAAGAAAGCATATATAAACAAAGGTCTAGAGTCCAATGGTTGAAACAGGGGGATTCTAACTCAGCCTATTTTTTTTTGCACAAATGAAGAATAGGAACCACTTGAATGAAATCCAAAGTCTAACAAATGATGTGGGAGCTCAACTAGTAATGGAGGATGATATAGAAGCAGAAATACTAGGGTACTATAAAAAACTACTGGGATCAAGAGCTGAAAGTATTCCAGCTATCAATCCAAATATTATGAAACTAGGTGCAACGTTAAATAGAGAACAACAGGTTCAGCTGATCAAGCCAGTCACCAAAGAGGAAGTATGGGAAGCCCTGAAGGACATCAGTGACCTCAAAGCACCTGGTTATGATGGGTTTAATGCTGTATTTTTTAAGAAGGCCTGGCAAATTGGCGGAGAGGATATAACGAAGGCTGTGTTGGAATTATTTGAAACAACACATATGTACAGACCTATCAACTGCACAGCAATCACTATAGTCCCTAAAGTCAGGAATCCTGTGAGTGTTAAAGAATACAGACCTATCTCATGCTGCACTGTTCTGTACAAAGTGATCTCCAAGGTGTTAACTAAGAGATTGCAAGGAGTTATGGATGCTTTAATTGACAACACTCAGTCAGCATTTATGCCTGGAAGAGTAATTACTGATAACATTATCCTAAGCCATGAACTAGTGAAAGGCTATGGAAGGAGAGGGGTCTCACCTAGATGCATGATGAAATTGGATATGCAGAAAGCTTATGATTTCATTGAATGGACTTTCATGGAACAAGTGCTGAATGCTTTGGCTTTCCCAGACAAATTTGTGAGATGGATTATGGCCTGCATGGAAACTGTTACCTATACAGTTGTGATAAATGGAAATTTGACAAAACCTTTTGATGCTAAGAAAGGGTTGAGGCAAAGAGACCCAATGTCTCCATTCTTGTTTGTACTGGCAATGGAATACTTAACAAGAAGTCTAAAGACATTGAACCAGATCCCAGACTTCAACTACCACCCTAAGTGTGCCAAGATGAAAATCTTGCAACTTGGGTTTGCTGATGATCTTTTATTGTTTTGCAGGGGTGATATAGGATCAGTTAAGCTTCTGTTCCATTGCTTCATGGAGTTCTCAAAAGCTTCTGGTCTGGTGATTAACAAACACAAGAGCTCTATTTTCTTTGGAGGGGTATCACAAGCTGCTCAAGAGGAAATCCTAGAATTTCTAGGAATCCAGAAAGGAGAGTTGCCAGTAAGATATCTAGGTGCCCCATTAAGCTCAAAAAGAATATCCATAGTACAATGCCAGCCTCTAATTGACAAGATAGAGGGAAGAATAGCTTCATGGACTGCCAAATTTCTGTCTTATGCTGGCAGGATCCAACTGATAAAGAGTGTTCTATTCTCTATACAGACCTACTGGGCACAAATCTTTGTGCTTCCTAAAAAGATCACAAAGCTAATTGAAGCAATGTGTAGAAGCTTTTTGTGGACAGGAGAAGGGAGTGTGTCTAAGAAGGCTCTATTGGCATGGGAGAAAGTCTTTCTACCCAAGTCTGCTGGAGGGTTCAACATTATGAATATAACCATCTGGAACAAGGCTGCTATTTGTAAACAATTCTGGAACCTATGTAAGAAAAGAAGAAGTTGTGGATTCAGTGGATGCACAGCTACTACATCAAAGACAGACACATATGGGATGTTCAACTGAAACAAGCATCTTGGATGGTGAGCAAGATCATGAAAGCAAAGAAAACATTTATGGAGGCAGGATTCAACCATGAGGATATCATGAAGTTGAAGAACTGTTCGATTAAAAACATATACCACAGGCTGCATGGAAGATTTGACAAAGTTAGTTGGAGAAGAGTAGTTTGTCATAACACAGGCTGCCCTAGGTGGACATATATGCTAACTATGGCAGCTCATGGGAAGTTATACACAAGGGATAGACTACAAAGCTGGGGAATGTAGGTGGATCAAGAATGTGTCCTGTGCAAGCAAGCTAATGAATCCATACAGCATCTGTTCTTTGAATGCTCATATGCAAAAGCATTGTGGAGCACACTGTTAGCATGGCAAGGGATTAAAAGACCAATAAATGGCTGGGATGAGGAACTATGATGGGCTGAGATGCAGACAAAGAGGAAAACAACTGCTGCTGAGTTATACAAAATGGCAATAGTAGCAACAGTGTATCATGTGTGGCAAGAAAGGAATGCTCGAACTTTTCAAGCTAAGGCAGAAGGATGTGAAGCAATATGTAAGAAGATAATCCAAGAACTGCACTGTCGAAGTAGCAAACATACAGAGAAAATACTACATAGACTAGACTGGTACCCAATGTAATAGATAGGTAAATGTGTAAATAACAGGAAATGGGGAGGGGTGAAGTATAGCAAAGAAGGATAACTTGTAAGGGTTTGATTTACTTGTAAATATTTTCCCTGGTAATGAAAAATTAATTACCAATAAAAAAGAAGGTATTTATGCATATTTAAAAATATATAGGGAAAAATTGGGTATAAACAACTGCCCCTCTTTACCCGAAAAGGATGAAAGAGTTTTCGGGTAAAGAAATGATGGCCAATTTTGACCGGATGGGATGTTTTGAAAGATGGAGGCCGAACTCCGGTTTTTGAGTTGCCTACATATCCTTGGTCTTACAGGAATCAGGCCATGTGTAGTTCTGGATTCACCCGCGGAGTTGCCGATGAAATTATTGCAAGAACGAACACGAGATGTGGAAGCAGCTACGATGAGCGGTTAAGGCTCGGGATGGTTGGAGGGAACTGGAGTGAGATCGCTCCTGCTAGGATAGTGGTTGCTTACTGGTTAGCTGCAGATAGAAGACGCTACAAACGTATTTGCGAAAACTCAAACATGATGCAGATTCCCTTTGGACCATGAAGGTTGTCTTCAGACGGTTAAAGATGACGTCCTTGGACCATGACGTCCTGGGCCATGAATTATTTAGTCAGGGATTTGCAGGCCATGAAATGGTGTTCTCGGGCCATGAAAATGGTGCCTCCGAACCATGATGCCTTTGAATAATGATATGCAAGTTTGAGGGATCCTCAGGCCATAGCATGGTGTCTTCCGGCTATAAGAATGATGACATTAGACTATGACGCCTTTGGATAGATTGGTGATGTTTCAGCCCATGAGATGCAATAATATGATGTAACAAGACAAGGCTTAGTCTTGTGAAATGGAGGGCAGAGCTTAGCCCGATTGAAAAGCAGGTAGATAGTAGTAGAAATAGAGCAATATCTGTGCAAAGAGGGACAGTGCTTAGTCCCGTGCAAGTGGGTAGGCAAGGATTAGCCTTATACAAGTGGGGAGGCAAGGATTAGCCTCATACAAATATGGAGGCAAGGATTAGCCTCATGCAAATAGGGAGTCAGGGCTTAGACTCATGCAAGAGGGAGGCAGGAGTTAGCCTTATGCAAATATGGAGGTAGAGCTTAACCTCATGCAATATTCGGGACGGGGCTTAGTCTCATGCTAATAGAAGGCAATGCTTAGCCTTATGCAGATATGGAGGTATAGCTTAACCTCATGCAAAGAGAAGGCAGTCCTTAGCCTTATGCAAATATGGAGTCCGGATTAGACTCATGCAAATATGAAGTCAGAGATTAGACTCATGCAAGTATGGAGTCAGAGATTAGACTCATACAAATATGAAGTCAAGGATTAGACTCATGCAAGATGGGAGATAGAGCTTAGTCTCATGCAAACATGGAGTCAAGGATTAGACTCATGCAAATATGGAGTCAAGGATTAGACTCATGCAAATGTGGAGTCAGAGATTAGACTCATGCAAGTATGTAGTCAAGGATTAGACTCATGCAAATGTGGAGTCAGAGATTAGACTCATGCAAATGTGGAGTCAGAGATTAGAATCATGCAAGTATGGAGTCAAGGATTAGAATCATGCAAATGCGGAGTCAGAGATTAGACTCATGCAAAGAGAGAATAGCAGATAAGGGTAGCGTATATCTTAGCTAGGATATATTCAGTGTCTGATGGCCGGATGGATGGTGAATTTGCTTTGTGTATACATGTTTCGCGAATGCTACCGTTACGTCAAATATGCCTGCGTTCAAAGAAAAATCGTAAGTTTTATATGGGGAGGTTGGTTCTTGCTTCGTCTGCTGGCCTTGCTCTGCTCCGCTCTGGAAACCCCCCTTCGAGTTCCCCTAGGTAGCACCTGACATTATGAAAATAGAATTTTTGAAAAATATGCATTCATTGATAAAATAGAATCGTTTTGGAAGCCTATTGATATATCAAGCAGTTTTTGATGAACTAGCGACTGTGACACATTTCAAGGTATTGCAGCTCTCTTATGTTGGGATTTTGAGGGTCCTCCTCAAAATTCTGCCCCAGTTTGGTAGATGATTTTTAACTGTTTGCGGATGGCGGACCCTGCTGAATCTTCTTCGGAATTTTGAGAATTCTGCCCCAGTTCTTAACTGATTACTGGCTTCCTGGCATGTGATGGCGCTGGCTGCACTTGCCCCAGAATTTTGAGGATCCCCCTCAAAATTCTGCCCCAGTTTCTAATCTTGGGGGAAATGAAAATTTTATTATGATATGACCGAACTCATAAGGCTGCCTACATATCCCCTCTTAAACGGGAATCAGGTCAAGCGTAGTTCAATTATATCAGAAAAGAAATGTGAAATAATCTAGGCATAGTATCTCTTAACTGCGTCTAAATTGATTGGTTTTGGCCAGATTTCTCCGTCCATCTCTGCAAGTATGAGTGCTCCTCTTATCAGGACCCTGTGAACCATATACGGACCTTGCTAGTTAAGAGAGAATTTCCCGTTGGCTTCATCTTGATGAGGGAAGATTTTCCTCAATACCAACTGCCCTGGTGCGAACTGTCTTGGTTTGACTCTTTTGTTGAAAGCTCTAGACATTCTGTTCTGATAAAGTTGGCTGTGGCATACTGCGTTCATCCTCTTTCCATCGATAAGGGCCAATTGTTCATAGCAGTTCCTTATCCATTCCGCACCGCTGAGTTCAGCTTCCTATTTGACTCTCAAAGAAGGCATCTCTACCTCGGCTGGGATGACAGCCTTGG